CTAATATATAAAATATAAAATAACAGAAACATTTAAAAAACGAAAAAAAGAAACCTGATGATTAGACGGTCTTATCAATTCCTTTTTGCTCTTTCCCGCTTTGTGGTAAGTGCCTTCAGGCCTCTTTTATCATTGCAGTCTTCGATCATTATTGTACTCTGCTCAAAGCAGCTTTGCATTCATCTTTAGGACATGCAGAGCATATAACATTACATTTACAAATAAAGATGAACAAATTTATTAGTAGCATAGTATTTTAAAAATATATTTTACTTTAATATCTATTAAAATATTTTTTTATTTTTAAAATCAATACATTAAAATCTTAATATCTATTAAAATATTTTTTTATTTTAAAATCAATACATTAAAATAAAATATTAATTTAATATTTTTTAAATTAAACATATTTTTAAAACACATTCAAAAATAAAAAGTATGACACTCGACCGTTTAAATTTTGAATCTCCTCTTTCTGTCAAATACCTTGCCTTAAAATCAATCCATTTAATATTCAAATCATCTAATTTCTCTTGGCGCACTTGAAATCATATCATTTACCGAAATTATTGATTGTACTTTCAAATAACGGTGAACCAACAAAAGTTCTAATGATTTAAATGATTGCATATCGTTAAAAAATGTTATAAATGATCATCATTCGGGATCTATTTTATATTTTAAAATACTAGCATGCTCTTATACATTATAATAAATTAATATTTTATCTATATTTTTTAGTGTCACTTGGATGCTTTACTTTTCAATCATAATTAATAAAGGTTTTTTAAATTATAAAAGTTGGCCACTTAGTGTTAACTAAATGGAAAAGATGACATGAGAGAGAAATTAAATATAATTTTAAAAAAAACTTTGAATGAATATTTTATGCAATATATTTATTATTATTAAAAAACTTTGAATGAATATTTTATGCAATAGATTTATTATTTTTTTTTTTGTTTTGATCACATGTAAGATGTTTTATAAAATTTAAATTAAGATTTATATTGCATATTTTTAGTTGAACACAAAATAAAATAAAAAATAATTATGATATCTAATCAATATAGATATATTTTAAGACCCTTTAAATTATTTAAGAGATTGTTTTAATATAGAGATTAAATTATGTTTCATTTGCTTTCTTACTATTTTTTAGTCAATTCCTTTCTCATTAAAAATATCAAATTATGTGATATAGTTGTAGTTTTTCTAAAAAAAACAAAATCACGTATCTTTACAAATTTTTAGGTAACTTTTATGATTGTGATTTAAAAAAAAATAAGTTTTTTTAAAATTATGATTAACTGATGTTAATTGAATTTAGATATGTGTTTGATAAAAGTTATAGTTAAAGTTTATATGCAGCAAAAAATATATATGAAATGTTTGGTAGTTGTTTGATTGTGGTTGCTTTTCAAAGTGTTTTTTACTTGAAAATGCATTCAAATAATATATTTTTATTTTTTAAAAATTATTTTTGATATCAACACATCAAAATGATATAAAAACACTTAAAAAAATATGAATCTAAAACAAAGAAAAAAAATAAAAAAAATTCTATTTTTTTAAATCATTTTTAAAATACAAAAACAAACAGTGTTTTACAAAACTCAATTAAAAAAACATATAAAAACTGCTTCACGAAAATTATATTTCAAACTTAAATTTTGAGTGGATCTCACAATATAAAACATAGTTTTTATAGTTCTCAAGTACTTTGCTATACTTTTAATACTCCAAACATAAAAACATGTACAAAACAAATGCAGCCTAAATCTCCAATAATTATTTTTTTAGTTGTGAAAAAGCAATGTATTAGTTGCCTATATCTAAAATTAATTATTGGTCTTTTGAATATCATACACAGTTTTTTGTTACTGATTCACTCCACAATTCTTTTAGTTTTGAGCAAATCCAGTACTATACATTTATAAAAATCTCTGCAAAAATGAATTAGCTGTTTTAAATTGTATTGAAAATATCATTCTAAAATACGGGTTGGTTCTCTTAAAACAAAGGCATGCACATATTGAACAGTAAAGCACATGCTGATATATATCAGCCCCCGTGTTTTGATCACTGGATCAACATTTCAAAACCAAGAGAATGCGCGTGAAGACGAAAGAAATGAGCTTTCAACACAATCAATCAATGGCTAAAACACATACAGTTGCTCATACCAGCCATTCCCTGATCATGCTGGCCCAAGATCTTAATCTATTCACTATAGACGAGACCCATAAGATCATTTAGGAGATTAACATCGTTTATCTTGGGAAGGAAAAATCGCTTAGTAGACGAACATGGCTTCAAAAATACCGTTCATAAACAATGATTTCGCAATTCAAAGGGCCATGATGACTGATTTACTTGACACCAAGTGATTTAGTGACCCTAGATGCTCGTATGCGACAATAATACAAGAGATCATCATTTTCTATAAATGTATGATTACCAAGTAAAGTAGGATTTGATGAGCAAAGACATAGAAGATAGGAACAGAGAATAATCCAAAAATAGGTCTAATCTTGACCCAACTTAATTTAGCCTAGAGAATGTACCTTTCGTTACATTTTACCCTTTCTTCCTTCTTTAATTTCCCATGTATATATTAATTGTCTTTCTTCTTTGTGCCCCCAATGATTCTCTCCAGCTCATTGGTGCAAGAGAAAGCCCTAAAGCTGGTAAAAATCCCCGTTTTTACACTCGTTGGGAAACCAAAAAGCTTTTGCTTTTCCTTTTCTGTCTCTCAGGCTTCTCCACCCCTCTTTCCATATGCAAAGTTAACTTTCATATATTCTAGTATTTGTGTCCAGCAACATGTGCATGTCATTACTTGCCATGATTTTAGAGAAAAGTATAGCTCGTTTGGGTTTTTTATGCTGTTGTGTTCAGAGAAACAGAGATTAGGTGAAGCTTAGATGGGAGAGACATTCATGTGAGAGTATGAGTGAATGGTTGCACCACGCCCTTCACCCCATGCAGATAGCAGCATCATTATTAACGTTCTTACAGTCAAAGCAAAGCCCTGTTCATCCGGTCTATGTTTGGGACAAAATCATGGAATTGTCACCACTATTTAAGCTCTTTTGGCTAGTTATGCATGGCATATACCATATAGTGCTTGCTATGTAGGAGAACCGTCAACTTTTATTCTACTAGCTTGTAAATTCATGATTATGCATACAATAGCACCTCGAGCAAGAGTATAAAAGTCGATGGATATTGTCTTATACGATGCTATAATACCAGATTAATTAACTAGTGAAATCAAGTTATTTTAATCAAATCAATTCATGATTGATATAAGACAAATTACTCAAGGGGAGGAATAGAGGAAGAGCTACAAGTTGTGGACTGCAAACTTTTTTTTATTTATGTGGGGTGTCCGGGTCAGCTTGCGTGCACCACGACTAATCCACACGTACTGCAAACTTGTTCGGGCTGTGAAGAGCTACAAGTTGTGGACTGCAAACTTGTTCAGGCTGGTCAATACTTTGTGTTGAGATTTCAAATAAAAAAAAGAAAGGAAACAGTAGTGGACAAAGAAAATTATACAGCACAGAAACAAACCACTAAAGTTCAAAAAAATATCTTAAATTACAAAGCCAATAATGGTATGATATTATACATATTGACATGGGCTAATATTTTCATACCAAAACAGATGATTCAGTGTATTTTGGATTTTGTTGTGGATCAGAAAAACAATTTGAAGAGGCGATTCTCTCACGGGAAACTATGCTGCCTGCCGGCTCATTTAGATTATTATCTCAAAATAAGTAAATTGATATAGAGAACACATATTTAAAAATACATAAATTAACTTTAAGATTATCCCATATCTGTTTCTTCAAATAAATGTTATTTTTATTATTTTCGTCTTCGTCTCTTCTATAATGTAATACTAATCAATCAAAATCTTATTTTGAGAAACTGTATATGACCATGCATGTGTTTTTACAGGATTAGACTAGTTCCGGGATGACTTGGCAGATTTTCATTGGTCAAAACTGACCCTTTCCAACTTTCATCTGCAATCGCAAACACAAAGTTCTCGATCAGAAAGTTTTGAACCGTAACATAAGCCTCAAATTTAGTAGCTATCTTTTTGTATCATGAAAGTTGCCCAACAGATCAAGATTCTATCTTAGACCTAACCTTTACGTCCTTAGACTGCCGGGCTGGGCTTCAGGCCCATCTCAGCATTCAACTGTGGTGCTATAAGGGACTAAAGCAGACCACTTGTCTATGTAGTTCTTTTGGTTTTTTTTCATGAGGTGCTAACCATCAGGGATACATGAGCTGAGAAAAGGAGAAGGAAGAAGAAGAAGAAAGGCAAGTTTTTTATGCTACAGGGAATCATAGATGTCTGAAAAGAGACTAAGTTATCAAATTATTATGTCTTTTTATTTTTGATAGTTTTCTTGGATCTGACTCGATGGAGTTTTACAAGGCCAATCCAAGTTATTAAAAACCCGATCAAATCATCATCCAAGTTTTGCTACAAATTAGTAAGATATAACTCAGAAATGAAATCATGAATTAATCATATGAAATCATGCCAAGATAAATAACTATAAAAGGGAGTGGTGTTTCCATTCATCATGAGGACAATTAATAATTGTTTTGTTCGTATAAAATAAACCTTACAAAAAATAAAAACAGCTAGAACATCTGCACCTCAGCTGACAGTTAGACCACTTTGATGAATATTCAGGAAAAAGCCAGCATCAAGCTACCAGAGTCGAGTGAAATGATAAAAATAAACAGACTACTTCCAAATGATTTTCAATCTTATCCTGCACAAGCCAAAAGAAAAGAGGTACGTAGTGGAGGCTGGTGCAAGGAGGAACGCACCGCCCCCTCCTCCACTTAGTCAAACATGAATGGGATGGGTGTGCATTCTTGTCTTCTGCACACAAAAATCACAAACAGCAGTGGCACAAAAGCTAAGTAGTTTAATATAGGAAATTTAAGTAGGATGCTACTCATTCCAAATCATTTTACTGTGTTAACAAAAGAAAAGCAAGAAAAATTCTAATAATTACAAGCCAAATTATTTATAGCTCTTTATCACAAAATTTACATAACCAGGCGCCATGGCTGGTACAAAAAAGGATATGTTTTGATAGCATAGGACGTAAAAACAAAATTTAGATGTTTTCTGTTTTGTAGATTTTGTCAGAATTCCGTCTCCTGGGGTATGTATCAGATGCGGTCCTTTTCAAATCTTCCCCGCTCTGAATCATCGTACCTCGATGCCCTTGAACCATACCCGAACTTGCATTACGAACTCCATAATAAACCTGTTGATTCATACCATCTGGAACCACTCTTGTTGTAGCATCATACCGATCCATTGTTGCCACGGGCCTCATTGCCTCGCCACTATACACTTGACCCGTCCCCGGAACAGCTTGGTGGTAACCAATCGGCATTTGCTCCGTTGGGATCTGATATTGTTGAGCATATGGAGCCCGCATTTGAATGGGATGAACCGGAATGTTCCCCGGTGAAATCGTACCTGGAACATAATAAACCGGCATTTGCTGTACTGGACTACCCGGATAAAGAGAATCCGGAATATAATGCATGACTGGATTGCTTGGATATCCAGGTGATTGGGTGATTGGTGGTGTCTCAATCGGGTCACAATAACCCTCAACTGAATTCCGCTTCGCACGTACCGTTACTGCCTCCAGGTCATCGGGTTCGGTCTTAACGGGTGGAAGAACCGGAATTGAAGGCACTGCAGGCACAACTGATGAAGCTGAGCTATATGGGTAAGAAACAACCGGGGCAGGAGAATCTGGATCAGAAGCTGAAACATTATCGTTCATAACGAATCTGGACTTCAGTTTGGGTTCACGAGGAATGTTGCCCTCATCCGAATTCTCCAAACCGAATAGATAATCGGGTACTTCAGAAACAATTGAAGAAGCCTCAGACCTTCCACGTTCAAGCCTGCTAGAGCCCGAATTAAGAGCATCAAAAAACCAGTTTTCCCGGTTAGTTGATCCATCAAGAAGTGAACTAATACTACTTGATCTTGACTCATCTGTTGCAGAGAACAGAAATAGCCTAAGCCGAGCCGAACGTGGATTTTGATTATGTAAAATACGATCATATTCATCCATCATGTTCTCAACATCCTCATCAGTAGTAACAGTTATCAAAGCATCAAGATCTTCATTCGGTAGTTGATACTTGACACTCAAGTTACCAATTCCTGAGACAAATAATATTATAAACGAATCGGATCAGCGATATAGAATTAAATATTTATTTCATTAATCCTTTCAAATATATATAAAAAAAAATGAGTACTTAATTTTAATTTGAAGCACCTGACAATTTTGATAACTTAGTGATGAGAGTAGAGAAGGTTGTAGAGCGGTGGACAGCAACTATGCGCGTGTCACCGCCAACATATCGGAGCTGATTGTCATGTGGGCGGGGGAGAATTTTCCCTCCAAAGCTGCACATGAAGCGCACACGTGGATCATGCGACACTTGGTAACCGGGCTGAGGAGAAGAGACTACAGAATCTGGAGCGCCTGAGTCCATTTCTGATGGATGGAGTGATGACATGCCTGATGAATGATATTACAATGAGTTTGCTAGAAAAAACAAGAAGCCTGTAATGTAGTAAATGTAAAAGAAAGACAATGTTGTGCTGCTTTGAATTTATTTAGGATGATTGTAGAATGACATGGACGGGGACCGACTTACTTTATATGATCATGATTTGGGATTTATTTTTTCTTTTGATAGTTGAAAACAAACATCTTGATGATGATGTTCCTTACCTTGTAAGGAAAAAGGGCTTCATCAGTTGATGGGATTTGATCATACATTTGCATTTCTTTTGGTGGTCGAGTGGTGGTGGGAGTTTGGGCGGTGAGATTATTTCTGATCCATTTGTTATTTCTTGCATAAAGTTTTGTCAAACAACTGTGCAAAGGAATCTCTCATATGCAGTGGTTTTTGTCAAGATTCATACATCAGAAGTTGGCATTGCCAAAATTGGTATTGGTCAATACTACAATCAAGCAGTGGACAATTTCCTAATCCAATTCACTTTGATCACATCACAATGATATCATTCATTAATTAGTATCTGATTAATAGCCATTCCGCTTAGGTCCATTATTGGGTTCAAGGTAGGTGATGGCAGTAACAATTGATTTTAGACCGATTCTTGGCTAGGTATTCCAACCCCCTTTCAAAACTTATTTCCTAGACTGTATAATCTATCTCTCCAGCAATCAATAAGTCTTGCAGATGTGTATAGCCCGGTTAATAATTTAGTTAACCTATCTTGGAGGAGAAATCTTCGGTGATGTGAACTTTTTATGCAAGAAAGTTTAATTATAGAGGTGGAGCGTAATTTAGTTTTCTATTTAGGTGGACATAGAAACGTATGAAAATTTAATAATTCCAGCAATTATTCAGTTTATTCAGGTTTCCAACTCCTAGATAGCCTATATGTTTTCAGGGGCCCTTCCTTTTTTGTTTTGCTCTGGAAAAGTTTTGCTTCTCAAAACAACATTAAGAGTTTTTTTAACTGAGAGGGGGGTTATTAACTACGAGGATGTCTTTTCTTTTCTTTTCTTTTCTTGAAGAAGATTGAGATTATAAATCACCTATATTTTATCACTGTACTATTACCTTAAATGTTTTGGATAGATTCATGTATTGGTTCGAGTGTTTAAGTTGTTTGTTTAGAAACCCTAATTAGAATCTTCAAGAATGGTTCGAGTTGGTCAAGATAACTTTCAGCGTTAAGCTATTGTTTTTTCTCTACAAAAACTTTTATTGATCTATCTGAATAGCTCGCAATCGAATCCAACTCCTATTAGAGTACATGACTCGTAACTGAAATGTGAGTTTTTACTTTATTTTTTATTATTTAAAATCTTTAGTTAAAACTTTTAGGATCTGATCTATTTAAAAATTCTAAATGTATCTTGAACTGAATTTGCTCCTTTTCACACTTTCCCTCTTGTAAACTCTCTTGTCATTCAATCAACATTTATTTAATGGTGCTGCTTTATATAAAACTTCTACTCAATTACTATAAAAGACAAGTATTTGATTATTATAGCAACTCAATCATGAGCTCTAATCAGAAATAATCAATCCAGGGAGTAGTTTGCTTCTCTCCATTAGTATAATAGAAGGGGGAGTTAGCAGGTCCATGTGGGGTGATGAACTCAGCATTTTATTCTAAACTGGCATGATATTAATAAAATTTATTTTGCTCTCCTAGCAAAGAATTAACATAAGGTGAAAGGGGCTTGTCATGCATCCGTTCCAAGGTCTTTCATTCAATGATTTGCTTTAGAAGCTCGTCTCGATTCATTTCTTATATAAGGTTTATGGCTATATTTGTTTTCTGATATTTATGTTTCAAGAAATTATTTTTTAAAATTTTTTATATTTATTTGCTATTAGAAAAGTTGATTAATGAAAAATAATTTTCAAAAAATATTTTTCAGTTAAAGAAAAGTTTGTCTTGATTTTCAGGAAAGCGTTTTCCTGAAAAATTTGGACGGAAACACTTTCCGAAAGTTGTAAAAAATTTAGAAATATTATATTATTTGCTGATTACATCAAATTTGATTCGTAAGCTTTTAATTGATATATATATATATATATATATATATATATATATATATATATATATATATATATATATATATATATTATTTTGAATATTTATTTTTCAATTTTATTTCTTAAAATTTCATTTTTATATTAACTTTGGTCTCCATTTTTATAACTGATATTTGTTTTTTTCTATTATTTTTTATTAATTTTTTTATTTATCAAATTTGATCCTCATTCTTTTGATTATTATTTATTTTATTTGAAATAATTTATGAAATTATATTTTTTTAATTTTATTCTCATTCAAATTTTTAATTTGTAAGATTTGTTTCTCATTATTTTAATAAACTTGAGAAAAATAAAATATTAATAAGTTATTTTTCAGTTCATTTTTCATAACATAACCAAATATTGAAAAGGGTTTTCTAATTTATTTTTCATAACACTACTAAATATCGAAAAATAATTTATTTTTTAGAAATTTATTTTTTTCAAAATTCACTTTAAAAAAAATAACTTTCTTGCAAACAAATAGAATTTCAGTGTTTATAGAGGTTTGATTATGATTGTTTTTTTTAATGTATTAAAATAATATATTTTTAAAAAATAATTTTTAATATCAATGCATTAAAATAATTTAAAATATTAAAAAAAATTAATTTTTTTAAAACACTGTTAAAACATAAACACAAATAAAAACATAAGATTTTCCTTTCGGCTTTTAGTTGCTGTTAAGTTTGACACAAAGGGCAATCAGAGCTCCGCCGGGTCTAGACCACCTGATTGAGGTCCCACATGTGTACAGGTGACCTTGCGTGATTGGGGTTTTTTATGACGTGGTGGCTAGTCACCAGGTTTTCTTCTGCTAACCCCACTCGATTTCGTCAACGATTTAAACTGATGCCTTTCCACTTGATAGTATTGAGTAAATTATAAATTAATTTTTTGCAAAATAAATTAAATAATCATTCTAGTTTAAAAAATTATTCATTCATTTTTTATTTGTGTTGACCACGCTTAATTCACTATTTTTTGTTTCAACGAATTTTTTTCCTCTTCAATTTTCCATTTATTTTATTTTATTTTTATTAAAAAAATTGAGAGAGAAAACCATGAAATGGATGAAAAAGATCAAATTATAAATACATTTAAAATATTTTGTCAATCTTTTTTTTCAAAGTAATTCCTAATAATTAACTAATAAATTAAATACTACTAATTACTTCCTTACCATAAAATCTTCCTTAAATATACCCTCCATCCTTGGTGAATTCAGCCACAACAATATATATATTTCACTGTAAATATCTTTAAAATAATTAATCCTTTAAAATAAATCTATCATTGGAAATTATATTTTGATTATTTATATTTAAATATAGTAAAATCCAATAACATCTAAATGTAAATAATATTTATTTTCTCATTGTGCATTAACTAGTAATATCAATTGTAATTGAAAAAATATATATTTTTTATTAGTATAGAATCCCGAATTAAATAGAAAAAAAATTATAAAATTCCACCTTGAAACTTTTGGGATACTTTATATGGGCTGAGGTCCCCATTGCCAAGTTTGGGAATGGTGATTAGGGTTGAGAATACGTTAATTCTCTCTGTTGCCTAAAGTAGTGGAAAACTGCTCGTTAATAACTAATTAACATGCCAAGTATATAGCAAGTGCCTGAATTAGTGAAATAATTATTCACTGAAAAAGATATTAATAAATAATATATTCGACTTGGATGCACCTGGGAGTGCTGATGCGAAAGAAGATACGGATGCATTGGCCAACTCGGCCAGTTGTTAGATGCAAGAAATCTATGGTCGAGCGTGTGAAAAAGGGTCTCCCCGTTTGCTGTCCACTCGTGCAGGTAAGCATGCCTTCTCACCTACTCGAGGTTGTAGCCTAATAATCAAAAAGATTTGTTTTTAATTTTTATATTTGGGTTCAATCATTTTGTATATATTGATTATTCTTGTGATATTTTATTTATTTATTAAACTTGTAAAATATTTAATGAATTCAAATATTAGTTATGATGTATGTAAGATAACCTAATATCTCTAATTATCCAAAAAAAAACAAGTATGCCCCATTGCCTACCGTCACAGTAACCATACCTTGATTCGAAGGGTTTTTTTTTATGGGGATAAAATAAAAGAGGAGAAAAGGTGGGAGAAAAGAAAATAAGGAAAAGGAAAGGAAAATATTAAAGGAAATTCGTTTTTATTAAAAAAAAGTTAAATGGAAGGAAAGAAAACATAAGGAAAAAAGGAATGAAAAATTGCGAAGGATATAATTAATATTACGTGCATTTGGTTTAAACTAACAAATAGCTTCTATGACCAATGTGATTTGTAGAGGTGATATCGGCCGATTTTGGGATATTAATTACTTAATTTCATGCTCCAGACGAGTAAAAAAAAAAAAGTCTCGGGTTCAATAAATTTGGAGATATTCTTGGTTAAAAAAAAATTAAAATAGCTTACACGTTTTTTACTCGCTCACCAAATTTGAGAGATTAGTAAATGTGGGTATATGTAGAATTATAATTTATTTATTTTTTCTATTTTCTATTACCCAACCTTTTTGCTAAGTGAAAATTTCTTGTAATTTGTGTTGTCTGTCTTTAATAATATTCTCTCTCTTTTTCTAAAGTGAATGCACTACAATTTCCATGTCCTTGTCAACAAAGGGGAAAACAACAAAAACAAAATCATTTTGTATTTTGCGTGTTCAATTATGGTTTACCAATACCGTATAGATATCAAGTGATTTTGTGGTTAATGTAAAATAATTATTTTAATTTAAAAATTAAAAATTTATGTTAAATAAGATTTTAAAATATAATTTATATTATTTTTTAATATATTTTTCTAAGTAAAAGTCTCACTATTAATTATATTTTAATTAAAAAAATTGTAATAGTTTAATAATTAAAGTTTTGATATTATATTAAAAAATTAATTTATTATAAAAACTTAAATTTTTAGATAATATTTTAAGATATAATTTATATTATTCTATAACTATTAAAATATATAGTAATGCAATAACCATTTTAATTCAAGTAGTTATGAATTAATTTTTAATCATGTTAATTTGTATTATTATTATTATTATTATTATTTTGCAATAAAACCGCATGATTCCTGAAATCAAGTTTAGTTTTCAGTTTCATTAAAGTTAATGGAACGCCCCTCGATGGCCTACGTCTCATTTTGGTTGATGTTGAAATGCATGTATATATTATTAGTTTGTTATGGCTAGTGGAGATTGATTAAGGGAATATATTGCTATGGTTGTGACAAAAAGATAAGAGAAGGGGACTTCCATGGCTTTGTCCATGTTGGCCGGTGACTTGCTGAAATTCCATTGGAGTAAGAAAAAACCAATGCATAAAGCGTCCTGGGCCAGAGAAAGCAGGGCAAAAAGCTAGCCCTAAAAGGTGATAAAGAAACGTAGAAAGCAGCCTTCTGCATCTTTCGTCCTAAGAAGATAATCCCATCGTTTTCAAGAAGAAGAAGAAGAAGAAGAAGAAGATGCTAGCATGATGTGTCTCGGAAGGGATTTTGGCATTTTTTAGAATTTACCAAACATTAATTTTGTATTTTTTTCACTCCTCACTTACGTGACATTATTTAAAAGAAAAGGGTAATTTATTTGAGTTTGAGTTTGGGTTTGACCTTTCTCAGTCTTGTTTCTCTCTTCTCCGACCCGTAAATGGAACCAAAGCCTTCTATTTTTCAAGAACAAATCACCTTTCTCTTTGTAAGTAGGTAGGCTAAGAAGCTTCGGCCTAGGACAAAGAAAACTCTATGCTCATTTTGGAGATCTCTGCAATGGGCTCGTTTTCTAGATAATAACTTGTGAAGTGGTTGTATTTTGTAGTTTTGGAAATTTAATTATTCTTTTTAAATCAATACATAGATTTTAAAATAACGTGCATGTTAAGTGACGATGTAAATGATATTGACTGTAAATCTTTTATTTAAAAAAAAATCAATTCACGTATTTTTTTTTATAATTTCTTGACTAATATAAAAGGTGAATTAATATCCAACTTGATGATTTATTTTATTAACTCTTTTTTATTTATATCAGCGGGCAACATGGACAGAGAGAGGATCTACATTATGGATAGTGTATGAATTATTTAATCAAACTAAAACACTCTAGAGGATTTCAATCAAGACAATTCAAAAGTAGAAATATATTAGGCTAAAAAGCAGGTAGCATCTTCCAAATGAACGACCACCATATGGTCCATGCACGATCGGAGCAAATACCTTGAGATTCCTCGCCAATAATTGCCGTTTATTTGAAGATATTAGCTGACAAAATACATTATGCGAGCTTCGGCCAACATCAATGAGACCACACACAAAGGAGGGTGGCTTTCCTGTATAGATGCTGTGGGATCTTCCTGACTCGGGCTAGCCTCAAGTTTAGAAAGTGTTGATAGAAAAAAGCATGCATGTTCTTGACAATTAATTAAAAAGTACAAATAATACCATGTATAATATTTATATTTCAAGATATAAATGCAAAAATCATAAAAGATAATTAAATATAAATCATACGAAAAAAAAGAGAGTTTAAGTTATCGAGCACGCTAAATTAATAAATAAATAAATTATTTTATGTTTTTTTCTTCATGACCCAACTCAAGTTGAAGAAGTAACCGGTTTATGTACAATGGTTTAACTCTGGACCTACATGCATATGATGACTTAATTTGTCATGACATTCGTGCAATGGCATGTCAGATTGAGTGGCAATATTAATTGTTATTATCAATTTTATTTTATTTTTGTTAGTTGATGATTGTACACTTGTAATACAATATAAAAGATTAAAAGCTGGTTTTCTTTTATGTTTTAAACTTCTTAGTTTTAATTATTTTTTATTTTGGTATAAACTATTAAAAATAAATTTTTAATTTTGTAACTTATATTTTTAAATGTCAGTAATGTATGTGGTATCATTTAGACCTTTTAATTGGTGTATAAGAGTTGATCTCATCAAATTATTTTAAAAGAGTTATATTTAAACAAATTTTAATTAAGAGTTTATATAAGGACTAAAAAAACCTTTTTTAGTTAATTTGTTTAACCTTAAGGGGTGAATTCATGTGTGAAAGAATCTTTAGGAGGAACATTTACACTATTAAAACTTCAATGAAAAAAACTGGATTTACTATAAATCTTGGAGTGTAATTTGAAATTAATAAAAAAAATAAATGAACGAAAAAAGATGTGGATGTAAACCCATTCAAAAGAAAGTCATGCTTTTATGTGCGATATATATATATATATATATATATATATATATGAGGATTGATTTTATGGGTTTATACATATAACTTTTCAGCCATACCCAATCATATGGTGGATGTTACAATGGAAAAGATAGTGTAAATTTTACTGTTTAGTCCCTATAATTTTTAATATTTTTATATTTGGTCTCTATTATTTTAGGTGTTGACATTTCAGTTCTAAAATTTAATTTTTTTTAATCTATTTTAGTTCTTGAAAGTTGAGATAATAGTCCTGAGAAAAACAATCCCGAAAAAAAAGAGAGAAAAAGTTTTGGATCGGTCACATTCCGACAAAAGAAAAGACTGATATTGGCGTTAATAATTTCATCTTGGAAAAAGAACTTCTATAAAGGGAGTTTTATCTTCTATAAAGTCGAGATAATTATTCTTGCAGGCTGCTGATGTTGCCAAACCTCTGGAGCGATTGAGCAACAAACATCTAATCTTCCAGAATATAGATTATGCACTTGACCTGTATCTGATATACGTGTTGACATTGTCAATTTTCCCAGGATTCGTATTTGAAAATACTGGTAAACACAATTTGGGCAACAAATGGTATGTGCTCGTTCATGATGCAAATTCATTGTACTTGAGGACTGATTAATCTGTAGCATTTGAAGTGAGGCTTTCTCTTCTCCTCTGCAATTTCGATTTCCTTTCTGAATTTTCTTATTTATCTCGGACATTGAAAGACCTTTACATGTCCAAGTTTTGATCATGTTATGCTAGAAAATTCGCGATTTGGACTAGAACTTCTTAAGTCCCGTGATTGGGGATGTTTCAGGTACCCTCTTGTTCTGATTGCAATGTACAATGTGTTGGATCTTATATCAAGATACATTCCCCTTGTTCCAAGTTTGAAATTGGAGTCTAGGAACGGCCTCCTGATTGCAGTACTCTCTCGTTTTCTACTCATTCCTGCATTCTACTTCACTGCAAAATACGGTGATCAAGGATGGATGATCTTTCTCGTTTCTTTCTTGGGACTGACCAATGGCTATCTCACTGTCTGTGTTCTTACAATTGCACCAAGAGGTTACAAGGTTAGTTACCAATACCATGATGCTACAAATGTAATATTTTGGTGTGGTCACACATGACATTTTTTTCATGGTTTTCGTTTTGTAGGGGCCTGAAGCAAATGCGTTGGGAAATTTGCTTGTGCTATTCTTATTAGGTGGCATATTTTCAGGGGTTACCCTTGATTGGCTTTGGCTCATAGGCAAAAAGAAGGCCTTCTACAGTGCCAAATCTGCCTGCAGCTGGTAAACAAAGTTGGTCCTCTTTCATGAATGAAATGTTGGTTATATGTTGGATTTTTCAAAACATATATATTATATATAATAGTGAAAACAATAAATTTTTTTTAAAAAAATTAGAAGCTCTAAAGATCCTATTAGTTAGATCTAGAATTTAGGATTTATGTGACAAAATTGTTTTTTTTATTAACTTTGAATATTTATTATGAAGCTAAATTGTCATAAATCATAAATCATTCAAGTATCCAATATTTAATGATAATTCATATGAATTATCAGTGAGAATATTCTAAACGATAATGATTGTTATATTTTAGAGTGGATGGTTTATTTTTTTTTGTGTGTGTTTAAGTGTTTATGTATTATAATCTTATTCCTTATAGAAAATAAAAGACGTGATGGAAAATTTAAAATTTTTATAAATAGTAAAATATTAATTTAACCCCTAAATAACATCACATATATATATTATCTCAAGACAAGTTTTGAAAATTTATATAATTAAGTTTCAACTTGATTTTAATTTTAATTTATTGTATTGATTACATTATAGTCCTGAATTTTTAGAACTTCTTTATAATAAAATTGTATTTGATTAATCATCTTATTTTAATTTTTAACAAATAATTCTTATATTTGTGACCTATTAGATTCTCTAATAAGTTAGCATAAATGCAAATTATAATCCTAAATAAAATAGGATGAAATAAATTAAACAATTTAATTTATTATCATTTCAATAATTGATTCATTTATATTTAAGGAGTAAGTGTAATATCTAGCAACCTTTCATAATCTTCAAAATATTAAAAAAATCATAAATATTTTGTTATATGTGTGACCTGTTATATGTATGACCTATATATGCGACCTATTAGGTTCTTTAATAAGTTGGCATAAATATAAATTATAATCCTAAATAAAATAGGATGAAATAAATTTAAAAAATTTAATTTATTATCATTTCAACAATTGATTCATTTATATTTAAGGATCAAGTGCAATATCTAGTAACTTGTTATAATTTTTAAAATATTAAAAAAATCATAAATAGTTTGACTTAACTTTTTAATAATCAATTTCTTAGTGTAATTATTATCAATTCTTTAAAAATATTCTGATTTAGACATTATAACATTAAATATGTTTGTTTTATTAAATTATCTTAATTCTCATATTATAATATTGATTCTTTAAATAAGATTTAAAATTCTTTTCAATTTGAGAACAGATAGAATATATTTTTTCAAATTCACGCAAGGTGATGATCTGTTAATTAGTCAAATAACTTCATATAGTTTATGCTATACTTAGTATATGATCGTTTGTTATCCGTTATTAAATCAACATATAGTCAAAATCAAAACATAATATTTTTTATATAAGATAACTTAATGATCTCAAGTCTAATGATCATTTACACCACTATCACATAAATTTTTCCATAAATATAGGTGATCTTTTTATATAAAATTTGATTATGAGTCAGTTTGGTGCATATATCATCTTACAATTATCTCCATATTAGTTTTAAGAATCTCTCATACCTTAGATTATAAAAATAATTTTTTTTCATAAATAAAAGAATATAATTGACATTAGCCTCAATAACTCTAATAAATATTTAATTTAATATAATATTAACCAGAAATATTTAAGAGTAATATTTTAATATAACAGAAATCTCATAATTATAACAATTTTATAATTTTTTCTATAAAGTATTTTTATCTCATAAACTTTATCTACATTTTAAAATATTTATTAATTAAAAATAAATAAATATTAAAAATAAAAAATATTTATTAATAATAAGTATATTTTACATAATAAAATCAGTATAATATATAATCAATCAACGTACATATTCACTAGTAAATCATTCATTGCTAAGTCATTCCTCAATTTTCACAGCTACATAGTCACCCGCTGAAAACCTTACTCGTGAGGATGATTTTAATTTGTCAAGAGGAATTTAAAGAGCATATTTTAGATCCAAGCAAGCACACTATAATCTAGAAAACATGTGTTTTTTTTCATTATTTAGCAGATATCACACTATAATCTAGAAAATAACATTAGATTTTTTTAAATATTATTAATTTCTTATGATTCATTTTGATTCTGATGAATACAACTTTTACAAATTGATTCAATTTTTTTTTTTACTTAAATAAAAGATTTAGTATAAAATTCAATCAAAATTTTTATTTAATTAAAAGTTAATATTCTCAACTTTTAAATTATATATCCTAACTTATGCAAAATCTTCAAGAAGTTATTTTGAATCACTTTTAACAACACATTTTAGATTTAAAAAAAAAATCATTTTAACTTTTTTTTAATCATAGAAAAACAATTTTTAAACTATAACGCAAAATCAAGAATTATTTTTTAGAAGATTTTTAAACTAGAACTAAGCAAACTTTAATGTGTCACCTATGGCCTTTGATGATTAATCAACTCAAAAAATCTCCCATTTCCTTCACCAACCCCCCCACCCCCACCCAAAAAAAAAAAAAAACCCTCCAATTTTCTGGTTTTGGGCCTTTACGTTTTTTGGTCACAGGCGTAGAATTCAAGTTCGGGCTTCGGTTTAAAGGCTATATGGGTCCTGGGCGCACGCAGTCTGGTCTCTCCATGCATTGTAATGCAGAAAGCATAGACATGCGTGGAATGATACTCTCTTCATCAAGACTCCACATATAATCTGGAAGCTGCGTCCTAGACAGCATTTGGATGTTGTGCCGAGAAGACAAGACAGAATAATACATAATCATGTACTCATATTCCTTTTGTTTCTCTTCATACACCTGTAAAGTTCCTAATCTGAGACCTTAAAACTGGTTTAAGTTCTTAATTTATTTCATTAGTTACTTTTAATTTGTAATTAGAACAGACAGACTATAATCTGAGACCTTAAAACCAGTTGAATTAATTGTTTGATTCCAAACAATTAACATAGAATTTTTATCAAAGAATCATCTTACCTAAAAGGTTAAACTGTTAGGTGAGATTTTAAAATATAATTTTTATATTATTCTCTATGGGTTCAGAAAGGACTGTTAATCGATAACTGCTTGCAAGCAAGACTGACGCTGTAGGAGAATGGACATCGCTACTGTTACTAGCTATACAAGTCAAGCAAAGATACGAGACTCTAAGATATAATTTTTATATTATTTTCTAACAATTGGGTTAGAAAGGACTGTTAATCGATAACTGCTTGCAAGCAAGACTGACGCTGTAGGAGAATGGACATCGCTACTGTTACTAGCTATACAAGTCAAGCAAAGGCTAATCAAAACAATGGTGGTAGCGGCCAAGCGGAATGGATCATTCATCTAAGCAAATGCTTACCTTTCAGTTTGTGTCCTGACAGGGGAGCCCAGAAGATTATAAGGCTAGCCCATCTGCATGTTACAATGCAACAAATGTTTTCTTAAGGCACTTCATGAAAAATGGTTGATTTTTGCATGGGCCTGAGAGAATGCATTTGGGCAATTTGCTTGTGCTGTGCTTATTTCTAGCATATTTTCAGGGATTGTCCTTGATTGGCTGTGGCTAATAGGCAAAAAAAATTGTGTTAAGCCTTTTCCTCTATTTGAAACGATGTTGCTATACTGAGAAAAATTGTTTGAAGGAAAACCACCACGAACCAGATTCTGAGTCAGCAAGTCACCAAGTTGACTCATTGTGGCAGGCCTGGTTTTATTACTATGTTTCTGCTAGGACTCTGATGCTCATATCCGATATTTGCATGTTTCTTTGATGTTAATTCAAATCTTAAAGAATCTTTTTGTTGTCAAACAAGTATCTTAACTTATTGAATGCCCTTTCTTGTTAAGAAGATTCACTAATCACAACGTTAGCACACCTAACAAATTCCTGAAAACACAAGCTAAAAAACCCATCATGATTTATCAATTCCTCTGCTTCGCTGTTCTTCAACCAAGTATGATGATAATAAGTTTACTGTTAGAGTTGGTCTTCGCAAGGGAGTTTGTGTGTGATGGTTTCTTTAACCAGGATGATGGTAATAAATTTACTGTTAGAGTTGAAAAACAATCAATTGTTCAAGCTTCTAACTCATTCAAAAGAAGGGAGAGATATGTGGAGTATGGCAATTCTTTTATTCATCAAATTATGTTCACTATTTCAATCTCATTACACATACTGAGAAAACATTTAGTAACTAAAAACCAATTTATGCACGGTCTAAAACTCTTCATCGAGGCAAATTCATTCATCTCTCCAACGTAAATTCAGTGTTCAGCCAAATTCATTCATCTTTCGGAATTTGTTCAGTGTTCAACCAAATTTATCATCTTGGAAAAAAGTTCGATGTTGAACATTTACCGTTCTCATATGGTGAATATATAGTTCACCAAAATAAATAGCATACAGAAATACTGATGACTAATATTGGTTAGTCAGTCCTTGCGGTGTTATTTTTGGCGATAGCCACTTCCTTTGAGTTTATGTGCTTTCTTCTCTGTGTACTTGTCTTCCCTAAACTTCCAGCGGTGAATTGCTACCGCGCAAAGGCAGCCTCAGAAGGATCAAAAACTTTTCATAATTTCTTTGAGTTGTAAACAATGTTGTCATTTACAAACAATTTGAGGTGCCAAAGAAGAATAAAAGAAAGCCCAGTTCGTATTTTCATTAGGAAGTTGCACAGAGATCCTATTCCAATGGCATGGGAGAAGCCTCAGATAGGTTGGACTAAATTAAACTTTGATGGCTCTTGCAAAGACTCGGCTGGAAAAGCTAGCATTGGAGGTGTCTTCAGGAACCACGAGGCTGAATTGTTACTCGGTTATGCTGAATCCATAGGCAGAACTACGAGCATGATTGCCGAATTAGCTGCTCTCCGAAGAGGCCTCAAGTTGGTGTTAGAGAATGGTTGGAGCAACGTATGGCTTGAAGGAGATTCAAAGTCTTTAGTTGATATTATTGTGAAAAGGAAACTAGTTAGATGCAAGGAAGCACAAAGACAAGTTAGTGACGTAAACTTGATTACCCCCCCCAGAGCTTAAAAACTGCCTTGTGACTCGTTTTTAGAGAAGGCAACAGAGCTGCCGATAAATTGGCTATAATAGGCTATCAGTTGCAGAAGCCTAAAATTTGGAGGCACATTCCTCCTAATACAATTTTGCAAATCTCACATGAAAATGCAGAAGATAAGATTGTTTTTCGAAGAAGATAAGCAGCATGTAAAATGCTGTTTGTTTTGTGTAATTCTTTGCACAGGACAGGCATTCTTGTTCCTATGATGCTTCATATTTTATCGGCTAACAGTGTTCTGTTTTTTAACAATTGAAATGGAGATTACTCTAGATGAATTTCAATGTACAAATTAGTGTCTCACAGCGTTTTTCATTTTCTTAAACTATGGTAATGTTCAATCAAAAAAAGAAATGACATAAAATTCTTTTTCTCATTTTCTTACAAGAACCACAAATTTCCTCCCAAAATGCTAGTTTTGGCAGAAAAGTACTTCCCTTCAAAGAACTCCAGAGAAAGAGAATCCATTTCCTTCAAGAAAGAGATTGGAATGTTCTGCAGAAAATACTTCAATGAGTTTTTAATACAAATCACGATAACAAATGCAGTCATTTATTTTTTTATTTGATAATATATTATATAGATTCTTCCTAATATATAGTTGAGATATGGAAATTAGTTGACTTGAAAAAATGACAAGCATCATTTAAAAATTAGGCTTCTAACTTCTGACACACCAATCACGAGATCAACATCATGAAAAAGACCAAATAGGCAAATCTTATTGGGCCAAAAAAATTCTTGCCTCACATGGAGGTTGATAGGTGGCCCATGTACTACAATATCCCAGTACAAAAAAAGCAGTACATGTCATGAGATAGCATGGTCATCTCACCCCTCCCTCTTTTTTTTCTTTTTTTTTTTTACTCCAGGCAACCAACATGAGAACACTAATTTAGGATCAAAACTTTGCTGGCATATAATGTAGTACAAGCAGAAATGTGTAAATGTACTGCATTTTATATGCTTACTATTTATACATGCATCAAGATGTGCAGATCTATTGCATTTGAAAGTGAGCTAGCTAGGGGAGGCTCCCTGGATTGGAGAACCATCATTGAGTGCAGCGTAGATGAAATCCTACATTTTGTGCTATTAAACTGTTACCAACCCTTTGTGGGGCATGGCATCATTTCATCAGCGCTGCATTCAATCATGTTTTTCTAACTCCTCCAGGCATGGTTTTGCGTGCATGTATCAAAGGGTACTTGTGAAGAAACTTTTTGTTGGATTTTAAAGGAAAGTGCCGTTGTGGTGCGAAACAGGCATTTGCGTGGTCTGTGGAGCTCACTATTAATGATCCATGTCTACTGTAGCTGTTCCTGTGAAGCCTAACTTTGTTTCATTTTCTTTCGATATATGTAAAAAGGTAAATCATCATGGAAAAGGCATTCCCTTCCCTCTGTTATGGACAAGATTCTAGTTTCAGGCTAATGAATTCATGCTATTTTTGCAGCACATGGAGAGTGAAGTGAAGTATTTTTACACCAATTACAATGATCCACAGCCTCCTTCACCATAAAATGCACAATTATTCTTATATGTCTTTTGTGCAAACCTCATATTTGTCCCCCAACTATCTATTGATTCTCATCTAGGTCCCCAAACTATCAATTTTCTCAATGTCTATTAATGATTAAATGTGTAAGTTGCATATATGACACAAACTGTAGGTGTGGATTGAGGAAAGTTTGGTAAATCATCATGGAAAAGTGGGAGGATTTTAAATGGGGACCAATTGAGAATGCATGATAACTTTGCTGACCCAATTGATAAAATTAATAGTTGGGGACTACATTGAGAGTCTGTTCATAGCTAGGCAACTAGTTTGCAGTCTCTCTTTTTTCTGAACATTTCTTTTCTTTGAATGAATCCAGTCCAGGGAGCCACAAAACCAGTTGCAGGCTTATTTTCCAGACTGATCATGCAGTGCAGGCGCACTGATCATCAGAATAAACACAAATTAGATTAACCTTTTTTTCTCTGTCAGCTGACCTACTGCTCATCAGAATTAACATAAATTAGAGAAACTTTTTCATTTATTTTTTCTCTGTCCTTCCCATTTAAAAAGTTTCAAGAAGATGCTAAGATTGCAACAGTTTTTGAGGTTCACAAAAGAACCACCATGTGCCATATCCTTGTACTGTCCCATGTATTGCTAGAAACTTGAAAGGCATCTTGAAGCATTGGAATCAGAAATACGAGGGCCCAATGGTACGAGACAAGTCAAATCTCTACATATTTTTAGTTCAGTTTTTGGATGCCTGGACAAGCTTCAAGCATGGCATAGCAAATGCACCTCTTCCTTTATCCCACCACATCTTTTCTTTTCATTCACCCATTTTTAGGTCCCGTGTAAGTTCTAAGCATGATAGAATCTAAAATAACGTTTAATTACAGCTTTGAAATAAATAAAAAATAAAGACATTCAAGACGAAAAAACATGTCTCTCTTTATTTCTTGTTTTGATGTTTAAAAATTCATTTTAAAACTATCTTGAAAGACATATTTATTTTATATAATAGTAATACCTAGGACACTCTTCCTAGCCCAGGACACTATAAATTGAACTAAATTATGCAGAAAACATTCATCCATCTGAAGCTTGCTGTTAGAACTTGCTTGAGACGATGAATTTTGTGGGATGAGTAGATGAAAGGGTTAATAAGCATCATCAATATCAGAACTGACAGCCTGACACCAAATCATGCATGCTCAATAGTTTTTGACACTCGAGTTGGCTTTCAACCAATCTTTAGACTGGAGAATAACTTGGTCTAAATAAGCTGTGAAATTAATGCAGAAAACAAGAGAAAAATATGCAGATCCTTAGCCCACATTTATAGCTCTATATTTAGCCAAGACTAGACCACGTAGAAAAATAAATAGGGTTACAAAATTATTTAAAAAAAAAAAAAACTTGGTGTGCAAGCAAAAACAGGAAATTGCACCGAGAAGCATAGTCTGTCTTAGTCTCGTTTATTTATCACGACTGCTATGCATTTGAAAAATGTAGCTAAATTCCTCAAGGACAAAGCCCTGCAGCCCCCATGTATAAAAGCTGTCCTGCTGCTGTCTGATTACCAAATAACTCAAAAATTCAAAAACCCTGACCCCAAATAACCACCCTGAAATTGCCAAATTCTGAAACATTAATTAATTTTCTACAAAATCTAAAAGGGACAGCATAATCTAAGATCACACCACAAAAATCCAACTTCTTATATGTATCATTGCACAATGGACACCACAAAAAGAACCTGAATCCTGAAATTGTCAAGTTCTGAAACATTAACGAGTCTCAATTCTTACATCAAACATAAAATCTAGAAAAACAGACAGCACCAACATCGACTAAAATCACATCCCATGAACCAAAAATCCATGCAAATATAAAGTCAAATACTACTATAAAAGCAGAAATCGAGAAACAGAAACCCAAGTACAGAAACAGAAAGTCACTGCAGAGATATCTATGTCAAGTGTATAAAGAGGGGGGAAAGCAGAGCAAAATCCTGAAAAGATTCCTTTTTTTTTTTTTTCCTTCATAAATACTATACAATCAGTTCAAAATATAAACACCTGTCTATGAGAGTCCATTACTTGTCAATCTCTCTCTTTCTCGTGACCATAATTCAAGATTTCCCCTTTTTTTTTTATCCCCAAACTCTCCTCCTCTTTTCTTCACAATTAACCTACTTGCCACTCTCACACCCAACAATAAATCTTCTCTTAAAAAACCCTTTTCAGTCTTACTCCCTTCGCTCTCTCTAATAAAAATCCCAACTTTCTGTCACTTTCCCGAGAAACATCAGGACTTTCCGGGAAAATTTCCAAACATTTCTTTTTTAATGGAGGCGCTACCGGACCACCTCCGGTGCAAGAGAACAGACGGCCGGCAATGGCGGTGCAACAGGCGGGTGATGGAGGATAAGAAGCTCTGTGAAATTCACCACCTTCAAGGCCGCCATAGGCAGTATAGAAGGAAAGTTCCAGAGACTTTGAAATTGCAGAGAAAGAAGAGCAAGAAATCAGCAGCATCAAGTTCTAATGCTGAAACCCTAATTAGGGTTTCTTCAAAAGAGGGGAAATTAGGGAAATTTAAGAAGAAAGGAAAGAAGTTGAAGAGAGGGGATTTACAGTTGGATTTGATTAGAATGGTTTTACAGAAAGAAATGGAGAAGAGGAAGAGTAAGAAAAGGAAAAGTTTTTCAGAGAAAGTAAGTGTTGATAATGGTGATGATAATGATAATGTGAATGACTGTAGTGAGAGTGAAGAAGGAGAAGGAGAAGAGTTAATGAGAAATTTGCCAAATGGGTTCATGGCAATATCGCCTGCTAAGAGTTTTGGGAATGGCAATGCGGGTTGTTCTAGTTCACATTGTGATAGTAAGATTGGAGGAGATGTTGTTAACGGGGCTAGTACTGCTAGAAGATGTTTTAGGTCTAAAAATGTTGAGCCAATGCCAATTGGGAAATTGCAGGTTGGTTTTGTTGTTTGTTTGGTATTGTATTTTGAAAGTTTTTGTATTTCAATTTTTGATTGATTGGTTTTTGTAGGTTTTGCCGTATAAGAGGGATGGAGTGAGATTGAGGAAGGGGAAGAGGAAGAAGTGCCACTGGTGTAGGAGTAGTGGATCGAGGACATTGATTAGGTGTTCGAGTTGTCGGAAAGAGTATTACTGCTTGGATTGCATCAAAGAGCAGTATGTTGTTTCTGCATGTTAATTTGTTTAATATGACTTGTATTCTTTGTTCGGTGCCAGATATCTTACCCTTTTGAAGCTTATGTGCAAAAAGTTGTCATTTTTTGTATGGAACAAGCATTGTTTATAATAATGTGGACTGTTTAATAATTATTGTATCCTTTAGGCCAACTGTTTTCTATATATAGCTCCAGCTAGTGCTGAAAACAGTGATTTTGTGATTTCAGCCTAATGCTCTGTCTTTAGGAGTAAAATCTGACTTGTGATTCTTGATTTTGAAATGAATTTAGGTATTTGGAAACACAAGAAGAAGTTAGGATGGAATGTCCTATGTGTCGTGGAACTTGCAGCTGTAAGGTCTGCTCAGCGATTCAATGTAGGGACATTGCATGTAAGGTCTGACTTCTAATTTTTCTAAGCGAGCTAGACGTAGTACTTTCATATTTCTTGCGGAATCATGATGTCTAAATATATGCAAAAACTATTATGTTTCAGGACTTGTCCAAGGAGAAAAGTGAAGTAGACAACGTTTTACATTTTCATTATTTGATTTGCATGCTTCTTCCCATACTGAAACAAATAAATCAGGATCAGAGCATTGAGCTAGAAATAGAGGCAAAAATAAAAGGTAGCGATCATACTTCTACTTCTTGATATTCTGCAATTGATTTCCACTTTTCATAGCTTATTGTAGAATGTCCATAGAAGGTCTTTTTATAATGTCCTTCGGTCTGTGATAGGCCAGAAGCCTTCTGAAGTTCAAATCCAGCAGGCTGAAGTCAGCTGCAATAAGCAATGTTGCTGGTATATAATCTGCCTCTGAAAAAGTTATGATGATCTGCTAATATTTAACATATCTGATTTCAATTTGTTATCTGCTCTCCGGTGCATGGTATAACTTTTGGAGCAGCAATAACTGCAAGACTTCCATAGTGGATTTCCATAGGAGCTGTCCTGAGTGTTCCTATAACCTTTGCTTAAGTTGTTGTCGGGATATTTTTCATGGGGGCGTACATGGACGTGTTAAAACTCTTTTATGCAAATGTCCAAATGGAAGGAAAGCTTGTATACCTGGCAAACGACTTTCAGAAATGAAATCACTTTATGCCACGAAGCGGAGTTACAGCAGCAAATATCATGGCTCAACATTCTCACCTGGTCGGAGTGCTGTGGATCGTAATGGTGGTATACCTTGTCCCTCTAGAAAGTTTGGAGGTTGTGGTGATAGCCTACTTGATTTGAGGTGCATTTTCCCCTTATGTTGGACAAAAGATCTGGAAGTAAGTGCAGAAGAATTAGTTGGCTGCTATGAGTTACCAGAAACCTTGGATGTTCGATCGTGTTGCTCATTATGTGTTGGGATGGATTGTGAATCTAACGGGATTGAACAACTGCAAGAAGCAGCTGCAAGAGAAGATTCTGGTGATAACCTTTTATATTATCCAACCATCATGGATGTTCGCAGTGATAACCTAGAACACTTTCAGAAGCACTGGGGCAGAGGTCAACCTGTGATTGTTCGTAATGTGCTTCAGAGTACATCTGATTTGAGTTGGGATCCAATAGTCATGTTCTGCAATTATCTTAAGAATAATGCTGCCAGGTCTCAAAATGGGCAAGCTACAGATTGCTCGGACTGGTTTGAGGTTAGTGTTTTTCTCAGCCACGAGCTGTGTTAATATGCTGTGTGGTCGTGCATGTGCCTACAGTGTTTCTTTTTTAAATGTCAAATATCAGATGGTGTTAGTATTTTGTACCAAGAAACCAGCACAGTTCAAAATAATATCAAGGCTTTCTCTTCAATTTCTGGTGAACATGAGTTATTAGAAGACAAATTAATCTCTTGTGCATTACTGAGTTGTTACCTGTTGGCTTTACTGGGGTGGGAATTGAGTGTTGAAAATTGGTTACATTATGAATTTGGAGTGTTTAATGTTTCTGTACATGCAAATATAAAAACAAATCTCTGTGCGATATATTTGCGAGCTGTGAAGCTTTAAATTATAAGAGGAATGGAAATATGCTGGTACAAAATTCCTGGAAAACAATAATTAATTGTTTGTGGCTGGAAGGTTCCTTTCCAATTTCTCTGATTTTCAAAGAATTTGACGCTCTGGAGGACATAAATGAATGTAGCTTCTAGCCTTGAAAGATTCCTAGAGGATGCTAGAGAATCTAGAATATTTTTCAAAATATCTTATTTTTTCTCGTTAGTTCGGCTGCTAACTGTTAGATCAGCATAATCTAGCTTCCAAACTTATGGGGCATTTCACTTCTCTTTTCTACTTTATCCGACTTCAGGACATTTTCTTTTTCAAGTTACGAAATGCCAGGTTCTTCCTCTTAATTTGATTGTGATGGAAAACCTTGTGTTAATCGCTGTCTTTAGGGAAAATTTTCATATACACTATATTTACTTCATGAAAAAGAAATTAGACTGATTTGGACTCTAAGCTTAGCACTGCTTTATATTCTATGCTCCTGCAAAGTGTTTAGTGTTTTGCATTTGACACCTTTTCTTTGAAATCTTGTTTTCCTTTTCTCATGATAATGAACATTTTGCATTTCTGATTTCCTGCTGCTTTTTGCTCCTTTTTTTTCTGGTCAAGAATTTGAGACCAAAACTCTAATTCCCAACAATTTTTCTTTGGTGTGGCAGGTAGAAATTGGTATAAGACAGATGTTTATGGGGTCTTTTAAGGGCCTGACGAATGCCAACATATGGCATGAGAAGCTGAAATTGAAGGGTTTGCTTTCTTCTTATTTATTCCGAGAACATTTTCCAGTTCATTATAGTCACGTCCTTCAGGCTCTACCACTTCCAGAATACATGGACCCCATTTCAGGTGTTCTAAACATTGCTGCAGATTTGGGCCAGGAAACCTCAAAGTCTGATCTGGGTCCTTGTCTTTATATCTCATATGGAAGTGGTGAGAATCTTTCACAGGCTGATTCTGTGACAAAACTGTGTTATAATTCATATGATGTGGTAAGTGTGGCTCTATTTAAATTATATCACAGTCTAATCCTCTTAAGATTTTTCCCTGAACTTCGATTTTAATTTACTTTGTGATTTTCTTTTTCCTATTCTTTTTCTTGATTGGCACCACACACGATGCATGCTTGGTACACAATTGCTTTCTAAAGCATTTTAGAAAGCATGCAGCATTCTGAGAAGCAAGGATCAGAAATTGTTATGCTTCCAAATCTGTAACGAACCATCTCCTTGATTTCTTCCTTATGCTCTGAGCAATATGTGTATGTGACAATGTCCAAGTAATATGTTAGCATGGATTGCTACCTATTTTATAACGTTTTTTCGAAAACAATTCAAAATCTGTGCTTATATATAGTTTCAAAGTAATATCAATTATTGGTCTCATCATCTAGGTGGGTGAGCCAAGCAAAGACTGAGATTATTGTAATTAGTCTTATTCTGTAATTGCTGTATGCAGTGACTTGCATTCCTTTTTTCTTATATAGCACCTCTTGCCTCTTGAATCTTTATTTGTCACAGCTTCCTGCTTACTTGCCCCACAATTTTAGCATATTTTGTAATGGTTTCTGCAAACTTGTTATTCTGTGAAGAGTTTACAAAAAACATGAATCATTCATTTGTCTTTCCAATTTCAGGTTAATATTTTGGCACATGCTACTGATGTCCCTGTATCTACAAAACAGCTTAATTACATAAGGAAGTTAATGACAAAGCACAAGGACCAGAATAAAGAGAGCGGAGAAGCACCTTTAGATGAGGAAAACATTGAAGTGGAATTGCATGATATGTTCAGAGAAGATATGCAAGTAAACAAGAAAGTTGCTAGAGTATCCTGGTTCTCTGCTGCAAGACATGAAACTCATGCTTCAAATCTGAAAGATAGAGACGTGTTCCATGATGGGGATTCTGGTTCTGACTCTGATTCTGATTCTGATTCTCACACTGATACTGATACTGAAGTCTCAAAATTTTTCTTTGGACCTGTTAAAGGTTCAAGGTCATCAGATAATCTTAAGTTTCATGGGAATCACTCGGAGACTTCCAATCATTTCATATCTGAGTCTTGTGGTGCCCATTGGGATATCTTTCGTAAACAGGATGTTCCTAAGCTTGTAGAATACCTTAGAAGGCACTCTAATGAGTTCACTCACACATACTTCCAAAAGCATGTAAGTTCTGAATAAGATGTCAGCCTCTATTAGCAGGTCAGAGTGGATGATTTATTTGTCTCTCTCTTGCAGATGGTTCATCCAATACTTGATCAGAATTTCTTTCTTGATGCATATCATAAAATGAGACTGAAGGAGGAGTTTAGTAAGTAAAACTTCTATTTGCCCCTTTTCTTATGATGACAAATTTGAAGTTTTGTTTAAATTTCCACCTTGCCTGATGCTTCCAGAAATTGAACCCTGGAGTTTTGATCAACATATTGGAGAAGCAGTGATTGTTCCTGCTGGATGTCCATACCAAATTAGAAATCTTAAGGTAACAAGTGCAATAATATTGAATTAGTTTTTTAGAAACCTTGTTGTTATTGCCCAAGGTAACAAGTGCAATAATATTGAATTAGTATTTTAGAAACCTTGTTATTGCCCTAATTTTCTTAGAATCCTTTCATACTCCATTGTTGGGTATTTTTCAAAAAATCTGCTCTATCTATAGCTCTTTTACCACGGTTTCATGTATATTTGTCAAAATTTCCTGATGTTCTCTCTCATAAAAAATCTTACCAGTTGTCCAACATTTTTTAAGCTTACATCGTTACTTGGAATCTGAAGGAGATAGGAAGATAGAGAGTTTGTAACACACTTGATTTTGTCATGTTCAAATTGATTTATTGTCAAATTTTCTGTTTCTGGTTTCAAGATCTGCATTAACTTCTTTGCAATATTGGTTCAAATTGATTTATTGTCAAATTTTCTGGTTCTGGTTTCAAGATCTGCATTACTAATTTTGTTCATTTGACTTGTCATGCGAATTGCAGTCATGTGTCAGCGTGGTTCTGGACTTCCTCTCACCAGAAAATGTTACTGAATGTATTCAGTTGATGGATGAATTACGACAACTTCCAGAGAACCATAAGGCCAAAGTTGACAGATTAGAGGTAAATTATACATGAAGGTGTACACATTTCCTCTCCATCCTTGCCCGTGTGATGAATTCTTCACTTGTTTTCTGTTTTGTTTTTGTTTTTTTTTTTTCTTTTTCTTTTTTTTGCAAAAACCAGGTGAAGAAAATGGCATTGCACAGTATCAGTAGAGCAGTCAGAAAAATTCATGAGCTTACACGGGCAGAGTAAGCGTTACATTGAAATGCATGAGTTCTGTTCTTTTTCTTCAATCTTTCTCAGTATGCTGGTCATCAAATAATTTAAGATATCCACGTTGTTTCATGATTGTGTGTTACATTGTGCATGAAATTCATCGATTTTTAATAGTTAAAATCAGATGCAGTGTCAGTGTATATTTTAAAAACACATAACCTGGATGGGGAGGCATGGCTTGTATATGTTCAGGAGGATGAACTAGAACCTGCGTGTATGAATATCTTTGATGGTTGCTAATTTGTCGAACACTTTTAGAGGGAGATTATATCAAAATCCTTGTGATGGACAAGAATCACGGAATCAAATAAATTTGACGATCATTCTCAATAAAGAAAAGGGGTTTCCATGTTCCTAGTTTTGTCTTAGGCAATTATTATCCATCCCTTTGCTTATGCTTTCAGATGAACTACTGCCGGTGCGCATCTTACCCCCAAGTCTCCCCAGAAATTGAATGAGGCTTTATCCTCTAGATACTTTTTTAATGACACGAGTGCCAATCAGGTTTTCCTCATGTTTGTAAGCATGATACTAACACATACTGAACTATATGTTATGCTTCAAATGGATATTAAGAGCTTTATTTAGCATGTGTCAGCAAGATTCTTCTGTCCAGGCAATTTATATGTGCTTCATAATTTAGGACCAGCATGGACCTCAATGGCTAACTGCAAGGACTGAACGGAAAGATATGCTGTTACAAAATGAATCGTACAGGGTATTGGTCTCTGCTGCGACCGCTTTTTCTTTTCTTTTTTTTTTTCATCGTACAGGGTATTGGTCTCTGCTGCGACTGCTTTTTCTTTTTTCTTTTTTCTTTTTTGGCATGCAGAAATTTTGATACATCTCCTCTCCTCAATGATTAAAAGGCTAATTTTCGCAGATCTCTCATTCTTGGTGAAAAACACCAACTTTTTGTTATCAAAAATTTGCATTGGTTTCCTCATTTACTGCAACAACTTGTACATGGGTTCATTAAGGTTAGCATTTTCTCCCCTTGCTGCAACAGCACGTATATGTGATCGATCCATTGGACTGTATATAATGACTAATCAGTTTGGTTGTAATAATGATTGATTCTTTAGTTCTTTTCTTATATATATACAACCTTGTGATAGTTTCTTCATGCTGCAGTCATCTGATGCTAGACAAATTGCATGAAAAAAAGCTCTTGATATTCTTGCAAAAATTGTCGTTGATTGGAGTAACAATGCTTAGTTTTGAAAGGCCTCTCATCCTTGATGTTCCTTGCCTCTATAAAGAATGGTTTGGGGTTTCAGCAACGGATTGTTTGAGATTCAATCACGAATCTAAGAGACCCGCTACGTCCAAGAACAGAAAGTGGTGGCAGGCTGCATCCTCATAACCTCCCCCCTTTCAAAGAGAAGAGTCCAGTTTTCCTAAAGAGAGTTAAGTTCAAAAAAGAGTTGTAAAGCAGAATAGCAAACCCACTGTGGCAAGGGAACCAGCGAAATGCATGAATTCTTCAAAATACTCTCGCATGCTAAATTAAAATTAAAACAAAAACTAAAAGAACACATTGTGAATTTGAATAAGACACATTGTGAATTGGAATAATGAAATATGGGTATTAGCCCCTCCCATTAAAACTCAATACACTTGGTCATGGTAGTATAACATTCTTTTCATAAAGATTTATTTATTATAAAATAGATTTGGGTAGATTTGGGTCAAAATGGTTTTTTCATATCTTTTTATAAGTTTTGAACTCTGTAAAATAACTAATTTATCTTTAAAACCTAAAAATTATAGAACTTATGTTTAAGGGGTTTTTTATCTTCACTTTTTAAAGCAAAGTAAAATAATTGAATTACTTTTATAAGTAAAAAAAAAAAACCTTGTTTCCAAGGTTTATTTGTATTTTTCCTTTTGATTTTTTTTATTATAAACAATTTCAGTTCAGAATAATTTGATATTTTAACAAATATAAAATATTTAATAATAATAATAATAGTCGTTTCCTCTAGCCTTCAAGTGGTATCTTTCCCGACAACATTATCTTAGCGACATTAGAGATAGCGCACCAAGATCTTTCAAGCGGCGTGTCGCATACCAGAGGGATGATTGTCAATGTGGCTTTAAAGACTATTTTTCTTCTCTCTCCTCTTTCTTGCCCTCGGGTTTTATTTCAGTCTTTTCAAAAATTAAATATATCATATTAATTTATATATGTTAATTTTAATCTTAATTATTTTAATTATTATTTATTTTACTTTTAATGTATTTGTAATTGATTTAGTTTTTTAATTTTCTCAATTATTATTTAATTTTATTTTTTATATCTAATTTAATTCTTATTTTTTATCATTTTTCATGATTTTTTTAAATTTTATCTTATTATTTCATTTAATTTCATTTGTATATTAGATTTTATTATTATTTTTATGATTGCTATTTATTTTATTTTGTAATATTTTGATTCTTAAAAGTTTGTTTTGTTATTTTTTCATGTTTACCTCCTATAGAATAATCTGGTTTCTTAATTTAGATTATAAATTTTAAAAATTAGCTTAATTTAATTTTGATTTTGTTTTAAGTTTTTTTAAAATTAACTTCTTTTAATTTTATCATTTCATATTAGATTATTGAGTCTTAACTTCATGATTATTTTTGCTTTTTTAATATATAAAATTATTGCATTCTCACAACTTGAATTATGAATTAATCGAGTTAACTCGAATTAATTTTAGTATTTTTTTTTACATTTCTTATTAATTTTTTTAGTTTTTTCTTTCATCATTTAATTTGTAAATATCATTTAATTTGTGAATAGATCAAGAACTTAACATACCAACTCAAGCTAGGTTTTTTTTGTTTTTTTATTAAAATTAATTATTTTTTTCAGTTCATCTTAAATTTTAAAATATTTTTATTTTCCTTTTTATACTGTTTATAAAATTATCATATTCTTATTCATTTTTTTATTATCAAATAAAATAATTAGAACATTTTAAAATTATATAAAATACATATTTTCATAATATCAATGGGCGTTTATATTTTCACGATTAATTTTTTTTTTTTCAGTTGAGCATTGACTTTTCTTATATTCTTTTTATTAAATTAATAACACGTCCTCCGTGTCCTAGATTTTTCTTCCTCCTTTAAAGACACTGCCATACCTAAATAGGAAAGCCATCACCTATATATTAAACTTTCCTCCATACAGGGAAGTTAATGGTCCCTGCAGACACAGACCACGGGGGTACATTGGGGCATCTTGAAACTCCGGCGAACCTTTTAAAATAATCCAGCTGAGCCATTAAATAACAAGATTAGCTGCAGTGGCATGAAATCTTTGAAAGAAAAGAGAGAAGGATAAGAAGCAGGGAGATTGAAAACGAAAAATGTGCTCACATTGCATTGCAGTATTTAAGAACATTAAAGCTGCTCAAAGTGAAACTACTAGTGAATCTTCATCTGCTACTGTTGGGGGGCATCTCAATAAATCCGAATTTCATCTATCACTAGTCACACGTTCACTCGTATCCTGAGGTTGGAAATTCAATAAAAGTCATAGGAACCATCATGAAGCAAACACTGCGAATCAGGCATAGATGGGAACGAGAAGGTAACCTGACAATATGATTTGATGATTATATACTTCAATTTGTGCTATTAATTGAATGCTCAGCCAATTACTGTTTATAATATCACTATGATTGAATGAGCAGGCAACAATGAATTACAATATGGAAATCAACCAGTTCGATGCCACCGGAAAATCTACAAATCCCATAAATTGCCTTTTAGCCAAGATCAAGAGAAGGTAGGTTCTCTGAGAAACAGAAATGATAGCTAACATGTGAATCAACTGAGCTCTTTCGAGCTTCCCACCCATCAGTGAATATGCAGCTTAAAAATAAAAATTGATGTTCTAAGCTTTGAGCTCGCAAAGTCCACAATCTATGTTTTGTTTCTTTCTAACATTACATATTGTACACCTGTTACAAAAGTACTTGCTGTAGTTTATGTTTAGTCATCTAGAAATTCAAATTAACTTCTTGCTATGTATAACTTGTCTCCTGTCATGCCAACATTCACCATCAAAATATCATGTTGGCTACAAGTTTAAAAACCAGCTCAAGTAGCATGTCCATTGCATACAAACGAAAGAAATAATTGAATAGCAAATAATTGTTTGAGATATCTGCCCGTGAATTTACTTCTTTTTTGTTTTAGTTCCTCAACAGGGAAGGGATAAAAGGCTAAATTTACACCTGAAACAATAAACACCCCATTTTCTAACTGAAAAATACTTAACAATCCTTGACTCATCATTGGGAACTTAGAGACAACACAAACACACACAAATAAAGTGTGTAAAAATTTACCAAAAGCATTTTGAGAAGTGCATGAGTCCCGATGTGCGCAAGTGCAGTTTTAATCCAATTATGTCCTTCAAGGTCATCGACATAATGCGAGACACTTTCTCCTTGCTCATAAGATTCCACTAAAACAGCAGGATGCACAAGTGGATAGACAGGCTTCGGAAAAGAAACATCCTTCCACCTTCGGAAGTTATATATAAAGCGGCTTAAATGTGCAGCTTCCCTTGCAAGGTCAACTTGGGACATCATGAAAACAGCGAACTGTTGCACACTCTCATCAAGTCTCAACCAATTCAAAGCTGGAAGAAATGTTGATATCTTTGCAACCAAGTTTATTATCATAAAGTCTCTTCTAATTGATTCACCAACACCAGGATGTCTAACCTTTACAGCAACCACTGTAGGCTTTGTCAGTTTTTTTCCAGGGTAGTGACATTTCAAAAAGGCCCGATGCACTTGAGCAATACTTCCAGATGCTACAGGAACCTCTTCAAAACCCTCAAAAATTTCAGAAAGTTTGCGACCAAATGCTCTTTCAATAGTTTTCTTCGTGTACCCAAAACTATGTTCAGGAGCTTTAGAATGTAGCTCTGAAAGCTTGGTGCATAAGTCTCTAGGAAATAGATCCGGTCGGGTAGCTGCCCATTGACCCCATTTTATAAATGCTGGACCTGCTTTCTCCAGTGTCCGATGAACAACATGAAGCCACATTTTCCTAAACTCTGGCCCACAAGAATCAGCAAATGGAGCCATCAACAAGCTGGGTGAGAACAAAATTGCTAAATATATAGCTCTCACTAACAACACAAATGCTTCTACAATAGCATGTACTAAAGACGTCACATAAGCATGCCCATCTTGTGCACGCATATACAAAGAACCGGGATAATAATCCGGTTCCACCAATGTTCTTTGTGCCCATGCCACCTGCCCACATGTCAACACTAAAGCACTTGGGATCACCAACTGAGACCGCGTCAAAGCCAAGCTAACTGCTTGAGCTATCCTACTTATCCGAGGAAAACTCCGGCCACTAGCAGAACCTTTCCTAAATAGCCTTTTCCAGACAAGCTGGGCATTGTGTGTCACCGCATCACTCGTAAATGAATAATTCCTTGTAAAATACCTACGGCCAAACTGCTCTTTAATATTGCACAATGCAAATGACGAATACCCTCTACTTGGAAAGCTATACTGCGAGTAATTTCTAAATTGCGGCAAATGCAAGCAAACTGAAACTACTGTCCCATACTCTTTTACTTCCAATAATTGATCATTACTTTTCTGTTTACCAAAAATCAACACCCTAACTTTTTTAATATTTCCAGTTGTCAAAAACCTGAAATACCAAAATTACATGATCGCATCAAATATTTCAGAAAATGTTTAGAATTTCAAAAATGAACCCAAAAATACATATACTGGTGAACAACATTATAAGCTCAAAAAAAAATCCCTTTTCCATGTATTTATAACAATAAGAAACACAAACAAAATGCCATATATCAAGCAAACAGTCATAGCTAAAGTTCAACAAGAGCGAGGATTAAATTCAAAAGACAACACCTTTCTTTTGTTTTTGGCTTTAATACAAGGGAAACACAATTGGGTCTCAGTTCTTACACTTAACCATTAAAATTGCATATGAAGTCAAGACCTTTGGCTTTGGATTTGTAAATCCAATGCAATCTCGTCTCTAGAAACCCACACTGAGAAACAATTAAAGTCCATCCATTGTACATGATGACTGGCCAAATTTAACTCTTATGCATGTGGACAATTGTCTAAATTAAACTCCATCAAGCACTGAAAACAATCTAAAACTGATCACTAAATTTGTTTGAGACACATCCTAGCACGCAATATTTGAAGTACGATTCTACATGGACTCTTCCTCTTTCACGTGCAATTGGTCTTATCTACAAAAAATTACAATAGATGCGTTCAAAATTGAAATGCTCCAAGACCAAGATGAAATGTCACTATGAGCTAGATTTGGCAATGAAGAAGATAACCTCTGCCCCAAACATCATCTACTTGTGTATGTGAGCTACTAGCTACTTGTTACTATGTTTTTGGCTATGGATTCTCAGGGTGAGTCTCGGAAGGACACTACTTCTGGTTCATCAAAGAAAATGCAAAAAACAGATGGGATTTTCTGGTATACCAAGCAGACAGCAAAAATTCAATCCAGGTTTCACGTAATTACTTGAATACAATAAATTATGTATTGAAATCTATACATCAGCATTGATGCTTGAGTTCTTATTCTTTACATACTGAATTTTACCTGAACATGAAGACTTCTGCAACAGGAACAGAATTAAGGTTAGGTATTGTGATGGATCATCATTCACGGGCAATGTGGAGGACTTGTGACATGGTTTTTAACCCTGGATTGGGAAGGTTTAATCCAATCAGTCCTGGTTATATATAATCTTTTAATAATTCATCTAGGGATCAGCAAAGAAAACTTTCCAACGCCAATATCTAAATCTTTTTCTTTTTCTTTTTCTTTTCCTCAGCTGGTCTGATCGTGTAAGGAAAGAGGCATAAAAGGTGAGGGCCGCAGGAGAAGAGCGAAACAGAGAACGGCAGAACTGCTTCTTATGAATGCTTGGCTGAAAGCTTATACTTCTAAAACCTATCTATACTGTAGAATACACTCACTAGCTCCTACCCTAACCCTTTAATTATTATTTTTTGCATTATAAATATAAACGACATTTTTAAAAAATATAATTTTTTCCTATAATTTCTAGCCCTAGATAAGGAATTATGAATTCAATTACAGAATTTAAATGCGTGACTAGCCAAAATTAATAGCTCAAATTTAAGAAAACAAACAAAATATAAAACCGAATTAACTCAGAGAGAGGAGGATGATTCCATGAACCTGAACATGGCGATCAGAACCAAGAGGATTAACTGATGAAGCTAAAGTGCGCAGGCGGTGGAAAATGGCTGCTCTGTTGATTGTTGTCGTTGATGCATGCATTTTCTCATGGATTTCTCTCCCTAGGGGGGGCTTTCTAACGGTGCATTTTTTGTATTACTCGCTGACCTTGGTAAAACGCATTGTTTTATGGGATTTTGGAGGCGGAGTCGGAGTCGGGGCGGAGGCGGGGAAAAGGTTGGATTGAGGGTGGCCAACGGCGCAAGAACGAGGGATAAAAGAGAGGAGCTGGGACTGTAATTTTGGAAACTTCCACCCTCGGGATTATGAATGGGCCGTGCTTCGTGGTCTTCGTGGGCTTTACGCTATCTGTTATCTTGGGTCCACGGGTTTAAGATTCATTTTCCCAAATGTTTGTTTCTGAAATATTCCAAAAAAATTACTAATTGTTTGCTTTTGGTTAGTATTGGATGCCTCAAAAGATAGACATACGAGAGATAGAAATATATATATATATACAAAAAAAATTATTACAATATATATATACATATATATATATATTACAATAAGATTTCGTTTTTTAATATATGAATAATTTTACAAAAACATTATTCATATATTAAAAAAACAAAACAAATTGCTTTTTATAACAAATTTTGTCAATTGTCTATCCTCTTCTTGAAAATATACAAAACTTCCCGTAGAGCATCTTAATCAAAAGTTCATTAACACAATAAAAAATCATTTATTAATTTATTATTATGTAACAAATAAAGGAATTAACAAATTATAAAAATCTATATAAATCACTCTTCCAGCCTATAGTTTATTAACATGATAAAAAATCATTTACTAATTTATTCTTATGTGCCAAGGAATGGAATTGACAAATAATACATATATTTTATGAATAATATATGCAAGTTGTTTCTTTTTGTGATCAAGATTTGAATTACATGAGTCAAGGAGTAGAATAGGTAGTTAAATGATATAATATTGCACTCATGGTGTGTTTTTTTTACTCTCAAAGGCACCATTTGGATTCAATTAATATGTTTTTGGATAAAAAGTTTTTGGTATCATGGTATATGATATTTTTAAAAATATGTTTTAATTAAAAATAAATTAAAATATTATTGTTTTAGATTTTTTTTTTTTGTTTTAATATGAGTACATCAATAACATTCAAAAACACCAAAAAATAATTAATTTAATATTTTTTAAATAAAAATCACTTTAAAAATCAGATTATAAACACTCATGATGTATTTTTTGTGCTCTAGAAAAAACGTTTTTATTGTGGTATTAAAATAAAAAATTGAAGACAGATATTAAATAAACCTGTTATAATATTTTAATATTATTGATTTAAATTATATTAGAAAATAATTGTAAATTTTAAATGAATAGTTTAACAATTTAAATTTGAAGTTGGATAATTCACTATGTCAAAATAGATTTTGAAATTTTTAAATCATAATCATAAAACCATCCAAGAAAAACAATTGACTTTCTCACTAGAAAATAAATTAATGATTGACATTCTATACTAATTATATGTATTGTAACACCTTTATTTTTTAAACATAAAATTACATTATAAGTGATTGAAAATCCAGGAATTTTATACACACACAAAATACCATATTTTAATTCTCGTATTATAAAATACTTTACCGAGAATTCAACATAATGTTTTTATACTTGAACGATACCATACCAGGTTATCGACATAAACTTATATATTTTCAATCAACTTAATCATTTATATATCTTTTCTTAAATTATTCTTTAATTTCCTAGTTTCTTTTACAATTTCCTCTAATAGTATTAATATCTTAATCGTGTTAGCGCTGCTATCTTTTTTTATAAATATTGATTAAAATATTTGATAGACTTATACCCAAACATTACTCTATATATAATAGTTATTTGATTTAACATTTTGACTATCAATTATAATGATGTCCTTAATGTCATATTGGTCAATTAGTCAATTTAAATATCTCAATCATCAATCTCATTGATATCACTAATTTCAAACAAGCTAGCTAATCAAATTAATCTTTTATTGGTGTATACAATTCAATAAAAAAAAAACATCCCAGTTATATTTAACCCTTTCATTTTATTAACTAAAACCAATATTTTATTCACTATCACATAATCTTATTCCCATACATAACTATAAAATTTTGCCCCGCATTAACATCACTAACTCCTTTTAGGATAACTAGTCAATCTTCTCAATTTTTTAACAACACCCGTATATGCATATTTAAAGAATTTGCAATTAAGAAAATTTGATAGGTATAATAAGGTGCAGAGCACTTACTTAATGTTTCCAAGATTTCCTCTCTTTCAATCTATAATCTCACTCATGCAAACTCCTTTATAACGATAAGATTTCAATTCATTATCAACTCATTCATCCTTTCAATATTTCAATATTTTTACAAGACCTTACTGAACTCTAATTACTCTAAAATTTTAACCTAATATAGACCAATATGTTAGAAGACTCCATGTAAAATATTAGTATGATTTGATTGTCAAATCAAAAGTTATGATTAATAGTATAAAACTAATCAATATATAATTTTATACTAAAAATTTAAATTCCTTGTTTTATCCTCGATTGTATCAATTTTTCTACTAAATCCTTGAAATTATTTTTTTATTTCAATATATATATATATATATATATATATATTATCATTTATTTTATTTATAGACTTATTTTTGATTTCATGGTAAGTTACCAATTTTTACCGGAGTTTACACTAACACCTTTTCATGTGGTTCTTTCTTAACTTTTATTTCTTATTTTTATTACAAGTTTTTAGAATTATTTTCTCATTTTCAAAACATCTTAATTTTAAATTTTTCAAACTCTTTTATCCATTGGAACTTATTATCATTTTCAAAATGTTATGAATTTTAAACACAAATTCATAATTTTTATTTCATTGTTAACAACACCTTTAAATTTATTTATGGAGGTAATTCGCTTCATTACATATTATATTTATTTATTTATTATTTTATTTTTTAACAATATTATTATTTATTAATATCTGATTACTTTTAATCCCGTATAAATACGAGGATTTACAACCATTTCATCACTATGGAAATTTTTTAATATTTCACCAACACTGTAAAACTCTAATCAGGGACTTATAATCGGAAAGCTTATCTCCTTTTCATTTTTATTGTCAAAAGTAAATATTTAATAATTAAAAATATCATCTCAATTACTTGCTTATATTTTTATATTATTTTATTATTATTCAATTAATACAATAAAATTTCCCGGTGGATTTTGCAAGCACAGTGAAATTTAGATTTACACGCACCACTTAAAGTAAATCCAGATATAGTTAGGAAACTATAGATTAGATCTGATAAGATAAAAAAAAAAAAAGATTTACCGTATTATTGAAGTCAGTGCATTTCTCAAAAGGGCTTGGCTTTTGCAGCATAAAATTTAACGCTTGTTATACAGTAAAGGGTCGTTTGCTTGTCGGGAATAAAATAAAAAAAAAAAAACAAGAAGCTTGGACTAGAAATTGAGGAATGGGAGTAAAAATTAAAGGATCATAATGACAATTTAATTTTAATATTATATTTGCAATAATAATAAAAATGAAATGAAATTTAATTTTTTTAATGCATTTTTTTTAAATAAAAATAAATAATGATTTTATCAACTGTTATGGTAATAAAATTAATAAATGTGGTATTAATGGTTTTGATAAAGGAAGGTGATTTTTATGATGTTAATAGAGGAAGAGTAGATGATGGTGGTGATAATAATAATAATAATAATAATAATAATAATAATATATTTTTAAAAAATTAATGTCGTTATCATGGGAGATGAGATTCAAAGATAAGGAAGGCAAAGAAAATTCCAAGAAAAGTGAGGGGCAAAAATCTAAAAAGAAGAGGGCAGATTTGAAATGGTAAAATTTAAGAGGACTCAAACAAATATCTTAAGCATTTAAGGAGGGCAATTGAGAGAGGGTAGATTTGAACTGGTCATATTAGGAAGGACTCAAATGAATACTTTAAAAACTAAATTCGGGTTTTTTTAGCAATTCTTGGAATTGATTACCAGGTCTGGTTATTAAGTTTAAAGGGGTATATATAAAATTATTTTTATTATCATATAATATGAATATGAAAATATTATTATCATTGTGCACTCTTTTTTCAGCAATTAAATCAGTTTAAATTTTTAGTTAGGCATTCGGTAAATGTCCACAAACTAATTTAAGAATATATTTGACTGTTAAAAAAGAAATAAGAGGATATAACCAAACTAAACTGAAATTTTTTATATATAAAAAAGAAATTGTTGTATTTTTATAAAAAAATAATGAAATTGAAATATTTTAAAAAAATTAAAATTAATTCAAACCGATTAATTTCAATTCGGTTTAGTTTTTCAGAATAAAAATTGGTTGAAACCGGCTTGGCTCGATTTTTCCGAATTGACTCAATTTTTTCAGTTTTGGCTCAGCTTTTTCAATTTAGCTCAGTTTTTTGGTTTGACTCAGTTTTTTTTATTTGGGTTTGGTTCAGTTTGATTTTTTGATATCAGGCTTATAAAACTAAAACCATACTAATTAGTTTTTTTTAAATTTTAATCAGTTTTTTTATGATTCGGTTTTTTCAATTATTTTTTTAATTTTCTCAGTTCAATAGATTTTTTTTATTTTTTTTGTTCCTTAAGATATATAAAAATAAAATTAGAATAATTAATCAATAAAAATAACAAGAAGTTACTAAAACAGTCCTGTATCAGGTATAGGTATCTAGCACTTACTACATATTGATGTTTTACTTTGAAGTTGTAATATAAGATTAAAACGAATTTTTGCATAAATTCGTTTTGATTCTTGGAAATTATTGACAATTTATTTTAGTTTTAATTATTTGTTTTTATGAAGAATTAGTCCTTATTGGAATTTTTTGGTCATCTAATTTTATAAAATATACAATTTAGTCCTTATATCTAAAAAGTTCTTGTTTACCAAATCAAGAAAATAAATAATTGAAAAATAGATATTGAAAAATATTATAAATTGAGAAATGATGATGTTTTATATATGGTATTGAACCTATTTGTTTCACCTGCTTGAAGTTTTTTTCATGAAATTATTATTTATTTTCTTACAAATCACTATTAAAAAAATCAATTTTATTCTTAAATTTTTTCTTTCATAACCGCGGTTATTTGAGCTAGAACTAGCATCTAATTGCATGTTTTGTTTTAAGGGAGGGTTGAATTGAAAAACAA